GTTGCTTGTTTAGTCAACAGGAAGTCATGTGCTCGTGTGTACTGATATAAATACATATTTATTTTTTCCATTCACCCCTTGCTCAGAAATCACATTTTGAAACGAGTGTCAACATTACCAGTTGGTTAGCTCTTACACTGAGCACAAGAAATGCAGCCACCTGCTTCCCGTCGCCTAAAGTGAAAACCTCAAGCAGAAAAACTTTCTCTGCTCAGCAAGTGCTGACGCACCATGGACACAGACCTGCAGAAACCTCGAGCAGGGGAATGGCAGAGAGAGTTCCTTGCAGTTACCTACAGGGAAATAAATAAGCAAGTGTGCAGTGATATTATGCTGTATGTTCTTTCTAAAAAGATTCATCACCCTATTTTGAATGAGACCCAACACATAGGTAATGTATGCCCTCACACAGCTCTGCCAGGCAGCCCACTCCCATTGTTCCAGTCCTGGATGTAAAGCAGAGCCCTTTAAATCAACTTGCCTTCTAAGACACGGGGCAAAGGCCTTGTCCCTAGACCTGCCAGCTTCTCTTGTGATGTGTCTGTGGATGCCATGCCTGGGGAGAAGGTTTTGCCAGTTGGCACAGCAAAGCACTGACTTTCATGGTGTGGAATATACAGCACCAAGGAGACAAACAAAAGCTATAAGAATGTGTGTGAGGTCTACCTGGGGTGGATGAGACTGTTGGAGGTGTGCAAGGAGGGGGAAACAAAAAAAAAGTTATTTCTTTGCATTTGCAAATGCACATTTAAAGTGAGTGCCACTGAGGCTGCATTTCTTTTAGACATGAGTAGAGATCCAAGCCCATGAAAAGAACGTTAAGAGGGAGAGAAGGAAGGAATTTGCAATGTGTAGGAATGCCACTGGAGGCTTGGGTTATGAAACCTGGACCCCCACCTTGTGCACTACTGCATGCTTCAGGATTGTATATGATGCCACTGATACAGAACTGAGGGCATGGTTGCTAGGTGTGCACTAAAATCATACTTTATTATGCATTTTACTAGTAATTTGGCTTTCCAGGCTTGCACTGCAAAACCTTTACCTGGAGGCTCAACTTGCGGTTTATTTTTGTTCCACTGTTGAGCTTGTTTTGGCACTGGGGGATGAGGCAAATTAGGGTGAAACTATTGAATTGAGTACACATTTTTCAACCACAGTCCTATGAGTGCCTCTCATTCCTGCTCTGCAGCCCTCTGCTAGTCTAGCTCTGGGCTTGTTACAGTAGCTAATGACCCTTAATCCTGCTTCTGTGACCCCACAGTTTTCTTCTGTCCCTTCCTGTATTAATTGCCCCCACCATGTCCATAGGCAGCAGGAGGTCCATCGCTTGCAAAGAGTGACTGACATGCGCTGGGCTCACCACTTAAAGGAGAAAAGGGGCTGTGTTGGGTCAAGGAGTTTGAGAGCTAGTGAATAGCTTCCCCATCATACATGTGGATAAGAAATATGATTAGAGTCCAAGCACCTGCATGGACTCTCTTCAGGTGTCTTCACTAGCTCGAGCCTGTGATATGGTTGGCAGTTTGTCTCATTTACAGTAAGAAAAACACAGAGTCAGTAATCAAAACAAAATATACCTGCCCCGTGCGGAGAGCTGGAGGTAAGGGAGTACTCACCAGAGCTGCTTGCACCTTGCTGCTTCCCATAGCAGTGCATGCAGCTCCAGCCTCCAGCTTACCCTGCCCATCTCATTTGGCTTCTAACTTTGTGCTGAACAGACTCAGACAGCGTTCTGTTTTTGCACAGGGAGCTGCAGGCTGCATTCCAGTGTTATTCTATTCTCCTATATCCCAGCCCCATGGTCTGGGCACCCCAGGCCTTGCTCCCAATCACATTTTCCCCCTCCTTAGTGGAAGTCACCAGCTCTCTCTGCAATCATCTGCTAGTCACGGGGAGAAACTCTGCTTTGCACCGCAATTTTTCACAATGAGACTCACCTCCTAACTGTGGTTATGGTTTCACAGACCAAAGTTGCCTCCTATTAGCTTCTGTTTGTGCAGTTGCTGCAGCTCATGCTACTCGGTGCAAAAAGAGCTTGCACCTGGGGCCTGGGTGGTAAATCCTGATTTCAGTTTCCTTGCCCTTTTTGGAATAGTCCTTTGCCAGGAGATGCTGGGGCAGAAGTGCTTGGGAGCTCACTACAGAGCAACTTATTTCATGTTCCTTGGTTAGCTATCAAGTGCTGAGCATTCCCTGCAGTTGTACAAGCTTTCCCTGCCTGGAGGTCCGTATGAACAGTGTTCTTGAATCTAACAAAGTTTTCTTATCAACAAAGCAAGCATTTTCAGAAGATTCAAGATAGATAGCCTTTGTGGTTCTTGCCTTCTTCCTCCCCAGCATGCAGAGTTGCTTCTACGTTGTCATCGCTGGCAGCATCCAGAGGGTTGATGGGATGCCACTTCTAAACTCTACTTCTTAATGCCAAACTGGAGAAGGTCAGACAGTGGAATTAGGGTCAGCCCCTTACATCATGCTCCTCTTCCTGGGGGACCAGTGCTCTGGGCCACAAAGGACACCCCCAGGTTCCTGCTGTAAGCAGTGAAATCAGGGTTGTGAAACATTTGAGCTAGCTGCCCGGCCAGGGGAAGGTATCTAAGACTGTAAGAACTTTCCAGTTAATTTCATAGAGCTTAAAAATACTCCTTCATGGTCCAGCCAAAAGCATGGCTTCTGCTGGGATGAAAAGCAGCTCCTAGAAAGCAGAGGAGCAAAAGAGAAGGAGAAATCTGAAGGGGAAACACCCTGAGAAATTACTTGCTATTAATTATTATCATTATCAAAAACTTTAATTCACTTTTGGATTTAGACATACAGGCTTGTAGCTCAGCTTCTGCTGCCCCCTCAGATGTGCCAGGCATGGTATGTAATGTAGCACTCCCTGCATCCTCAAATGTGGCCCCAACACTATTCTTACTAAAATATACAGCACCTGAGTTCATACACAGCAGTAGTACCTTTCCCTTTGCCCAGTCCGTACTCAATGAGAGGCCTCCACGTCCACTCATTTATTCTATCATTTCCATGAAGGTACTTTACATTCTGTGAAATCATATGAGCTCAGGCTCTGGATGTCTGACTACTTTATCCTGGCTGATCCCTCGGGAAGGAGGGGAGATTGCACCCTCTGTTTCCAGACAGGAGGGTAGGGTAAGCAGGAGACCACATAACAGGAGCAGATTGGGAGTTTCTGGAGAGGAGCATGGAACTTACCTCAAACCAGGCCCCTGAGGTAACAGAGACTGGACTTCCCAAGAACACAGAGGGGACTGAATAGTTTGTGAATTACTCTGTTTCAAGAGCCACCTTCTCTAGTTTGTATTCTAGTAAAATCTAACTTTTTTTCACTTTTAGGGAGTGAAAGCCGATGTTGTCAGAAATTAGAAATCGACCACCTGTAAACTTGAATGGGGAGATCAGAAGGTGACTCTGCCAAGCAAATCTCAAGCATGCTGGAAACTAAGTGAGAAGGACAGGTAGATGTTTCAGTTATCTGGTTTTAGTGGAAGGGACAGGGAGACTAGGGAGAAGAAATATTCCACCAGTTGTGGTAGGAGCTGAAGCAGATCACTGTCCATATGCAGGTGATGAAAATTCAGCTGCACTATGGGACAATTTGGAGACTGTGAGACTGATCACTGCTCCAGAAAGGGCTGCAGAAAAAGAATGGTCAAACCTGAAAGCCACAGTCAGAGGCTCAACCAGTGACACCAATGCACCATTCTCATTTTTTGGCTGAGAAATCAGTCACTATAGAAGCATGGGAACTCAAGAAAAGGGTAAGAACTTCTAGGTAGCATAAGCAATAAGCCATACCTTGAGGCGATCTATGAAGTTAGAAAGAAGGCTCAGTGGAAAGAACACCCACACCACTTTAAAAAAGAAGATGGCAGAAGGAACTCACTCAGGCTTTCTGGGGATATGGTAGATGTTTGATAGATCCTTTGAAATGATTTGTCTGTGGTATAAAGCAAAGGGCAGCAAAGCCATTGCAAGGAGTTTCATAACACAACGCAGAAGTCAATAACATTTATATGAAAATGAAGGAAGCAAATGCATGAAATATGCATCAAGATGGAGCATATCATAAAATGGTGTCTTCAGCTCCAAGACAGAGGGACAGTCTCCCACATCAGTTTGGCAAGCCATGCTTGCAAGAAAGGATCCATAGAGCCAGGGACATCATGAATGAAAAGGGACACCTGAATGAAAGAGAGCAAAATGAGCCTTTCCAAAAGTTTCTATAGAGGGTTGAGACAACTGAGAAGGTCGCCTGGTGTTTAGCTTAGGTAATGTGTCTAGTTAGAGAGACCCAAAGCCCTTCTGGGAGTTACAGGCTGCTCACTTTTAGGGTAGGGCACAAGGATATTCACCCGAAAGTGGCTAGGTTCGTTCTATGCCAGTTTGGAAGATCATTGGCAAGACCAAAAGAGATTACAAATTGGAGGGGTAAAAATTCACCATGAAGAAGTGCCTCTGGGGACTCTCAGGGAACAGAAGAGGCAATGGGGCCTGCCAAGGCTATGAAGGTTTCACATGCCTTTCCTAAATCAAACCAAAGGGAAACTGCAAAGATATCAGGGGGTGTACAATGGATCAAACAGAAACAGTGTGGTGATGGTGCTTGGCTCAAGCTGACCTGATGAGGAAAGTGCAAGGAGTCAGGGACTGCTACATTCAGTCTTGCAGCAAGCAGAAAATAACCTTTTTGAACCTCTTTTCTGCAGCAAGGAGCAGGCTGGAGGCTAGGACAAAGCTATGCTTCGCAGTGGAAGAAAACATGTTTTATTTGTAGTAGAGTTAATCCATATGCTGCTTGCTCCAGTTGCTCTGTGACATTGGGTACCAATCAAGAAATATAGAAAGCATTTTATAGGGGGTGAATTTTCTAATATCACCTGACTTTGGTGTTGCAAGGGGAAGGTCAGAGCAGTAAGTCCCACAGGAATGGAATGCTCACGTTGCTAGGCTGTGCTGGTGACCGTGTCTAAAACAACTGCTGGTGCACCTGCCACTGCTGCCCCTGCCTCTAAGACACCTGCTAAGAAGCCAAAGAAGGTGAGAAAAGGATCCAAATCCTGCAAGCCTCCAGTCACCAGGGTGACTAAGCTGATTGAGTATGAAGGCAATGACTGATTCCCAGGAGCACAGAAGAACTCAACCTCACCACTCTGAAAAAGTGGAAACTGTGGAATAAAGAAGAACAACAGCTGCACCAGGCTGGGGCTCTGGAGCCCGCTGGACAGGAAAAGCACAAGAGAACTTGGTGCTTCTGGCTCCTTTAAGCTCAGCAAAAAGCCAAGGTGAAGGTGCTATGAAAGCAGTGAAGATCAAGGAGCACCTGACCGATGATCGGCACAGCCAAGAAGCCTGGGATAGCTGTGGCTGTGAAGATCCCAAGGAAAGCCAAGAAACTGGCAGCCACTGTGGCCAAGAAAGCAATCAAGAGCCTGAAGAAGATGAAAGCTGACAGGCCTCAAAAGGCAGTGAAGAGCCCAGTAGTGAAACCCAGGGCTGGCACAATCAAGGCATAGAAATTCAAAGTGGCTAAGGTTAAGCAGGTAATAATGCAAGAAGAAGTAAGCAAGTAGAGGAAAACTCTTCTTAAGAGAGATGCTGTATGAGCACATGCAGAGTCCCTGCCCCAGGGAAACTGTGTGTACATCCATGAATTGAACCATTGATTTTCTTTCTTTTTTTTTTTTTTTGCAATTTCCCCAAAGGAACATAAACTTAATTAATAATCTTTTAAATTCCTTGATTTGCAATTAAACATAAGCATCATATGAACTATGATGTTCCTTTCTGCTATTTTCTTCCACTATCTATAACTGGATTGCAAGAAAGATGGAGCCAGACTCTCCTCAGAGGACACAGCAAAAGGAGAAGAGGCAATAGACACAAGCTGCAACAAAGGAATTTCTGATTTGACGTAAGGAAAATATACTCCTTCTTAAGTGTGATGCAGCACTGGAACAGGCAACTAGGGAGGTCGTGGACTTGGAGATTTTTCAAAACTCAACTGGATAAGGTCCTAATTAACTTTGAAGTTACCTGTTCGCTAACTTCCACATAATTTTATCTATGATCCTAACTGGGAAGGTATACTATCTCGATATAGACATTTATTTCAGAAAATGTACAGTTTCATGTACATTTATTCTTACATTTAAGCAGGTGAGTTCTGCCTTTTTTATTATTTAGACACATTGAATTACATATGTTTATTTTTTACAGCTTTTTGTTAATGTCTAATTTGTGACAAGTTGTATTTGGATGGAAATTGAAATCTTATTAAAATGCTCAAAACAGCATTCTGAAAAGAGTATTTACAAGCTCTGCTCTGCTGATAACTTTCACCAGTTCAGTTGTTTGAGACACTTCAACACACTGGCAGCAAGTACATGCAGCTTGCATTTTAACTGATTTCATTTACATTGGTTTTAAACATTTTTATTTGGAAAAAAATAGGTTAATAGCAAAAATAGACAATTGTATTCATTCTTGTCATTTCAAACATGTTTTTTAATAGTTTTCCTTAAAGGACTAAAATCTAACTCTTTATTTTGTGGGGTTTTATTCCAGCTTGTTACAATTAAAAGGACAAAGGATGGGAGGAAACAGAGAGAAATGAGGCAATATGCTGAAGATCACAGAGCAGGAAGGTGAAGAGCAGATACAGAAGCAGAGTTCAGATCTCCTTTGCCCCTATCAAAGGCACTGTTCACTACTGGACACATAAGGAGAATTGCACACTCAATGCAATTCTCAGTTGGTCAAACAATGTCAGACCATGTGAAGCAGGAGTAAATGTTATGGAATCACGCACCTTAAAAATCTAAAGTCCTTTGTGATGTCAATAAAGCTATTCTTTATGTAATGGAGGTGCTCTTCTTGGATGGATTGCAGGCATCTCTCCCCTCTGTGAAGGACTAGCCCATTCCCTAGTCAGCAGCATGCTCTTTAGGAAACCCTCCAAGCTGAGAGACCTGATGACAACACACTTTGTCCACACTCTGGGTTCTTGTGCATAAGATCTATGCAACATGAAGCTTCCATGTGACGTGGCAGCCATTTCCAACAGCCTCCTTGTGGTTTCCCACAGCAAGAGCTGAGCAGTGGCATAGCAAAGGGTGGAATATGTTGGTGGTAAATACTTCCCTCCTTTCCTACTTTGCTCGTGTAACCTGGAGCCTACCCCTTAACACACACCATCACTGTGCATAAGTGACCTATACTGATATTCTCCCATCTCTGCTCTGACTGGCCACGTCCTTCCCTTTGGAAAATCCCCTGAGCTTTACAGCTTAGAGAGCCACAGTGCATGAGAACCAGAGTGCAAGATAAAAGGAGTGCTGGCATGGGCCAAGCACTACTCCCAATCCCACCTGGGGCTGCTGTATGCCACCTCGTTGAGCATCCACCCCACCTCAGTCCTCCTCACCTTGTTCCTCTGAGATGAACATGTGAACAGAGAAGAAAGACTGAGAAGAGGATGTGAGAAATAAAGGTGGAGAGCAAAGAAGAGGAGAAGAAATGGGAGGGCTGAACTCCCCTTGCTTTCTGGGTGCAGCACCTCTCTGTGTCATTGGCTCCCATTCAGGGGGGGAACTCCAGCTCCCTATGCCTAGCAAAGCAAGGTACCACTTCAGACTGGGGGCCAGGCACAAGAGCACTGGCTGCAGCAGCCTTGAAACTGACAACACTGATCGGTAACCAGGAAGGGTGACAGTAAAATGAGCAAAAACAGTCCTTGTGTGGGAAGTGACTTGAAGGCCATGTAACTTCAGCTCCAAGTTAGAAAAGTTTATGAAAATCAACCATGAACTCTAGGTCACACTTCTAAAATAGGACTCTGGCACCATTCTTTGTAGCTAGCTACACCTTATAAGAAATAGACCTAGCTGGAACTGTGTTTAAAACTATTTCCCCAGTTTACAAGAGAAGGCACCACAAGCAGGGTACTGAGAATGGGAAATGTCCAGAGATAGGAAGTTCAGCACCAAGATTGTTGAGGTTGGAATGGTGAAGGATTTAAATCAATACACGGGATAAATGCTAATGAAGATGAGGAAGACTCTCTGTGGCCTTCAGTACCATAAGAGAAGGGATGAATAAACTGAAAAAGACAACGGTGTTAAACCAGATAACATGTTGTGCTCTGCTCACACAGCCTGTGGAATGTGCTGATACCAGGACATTACAAGAACTCATGAGTCAAAGCAGGATCAGGCATGTGTGAATGGGAGCAACATCTATGGCCAGTCTGACTGAGGCTGTTATTATTATACTACTCTGAGATAGGAACGCAGCAGCATTAGCCAGGAAGAAACACTGATTCTAAGGGATAGTGTTGTGCAATGAGGTCCGTTGCATGCTTCAATCCTGAAGAACTATAGGCCACTGTTAGAAGCAGTTTAAAGGTAATTTGGGCCACAGCCACTTTTGTTCTAGAAATGCCATCTAAATGCAGCTCAGTTTTTCATAATCCTCTTGACCTAGATGTATAATTTTTAATGCGGTCAGTGGATTTTTCAGTTATCATTATTTCTGAGCTCTACTGAATAACTTCTTCTTCAGTTATGAGATGACGTATCACAGCTTTTGTTTTACTTCAGTCATCTTTCCATCTTACTTGGAGATGGTAATTCTCCACCAGAAAGGCAGGGCACATCCTCAGCGAGATGTGTTCTCAGCATGAATCTCATGGGCTAGGAGGAGTTATCCCTATGCTCAGCAGCTATCAACTGTTTGGAAAACCTAGCACAACCACCCCTGGAAAAGAAAATGCTGAGGGCAATTATCTGTAACTCTAGAAAAAATAATAGTCTCCCAGAAAGGCCTGTGATCCAGGAGTGAAGCAGGGGATGGCAGCCCAGGACTAGCTAGCAAGGAGTATAGATTCAGGCTGCAGTCAAGTCTGCCCACAAATCTGGAGGAAATACAGCTAGAGACAAATAAACCCAAACACATGAGAGTTGCCAGTAACAACAGGAAATAAATTTTCTTTTAATAATTTCTGTGTGCATTATATGGACTCTAGCATTAAAACAGTGTTCTCCTGGGAAGGAATGCCTCTTGCTGTCTCTGCTGGAAGCAAGCAGCAGAAAGATTTCTAACCATTCTCCAAACTGTATGAAAGATAAATTTCTATATACTGTACAGTAGCTATGTTATACAGTTATATATCTATATCTATATAAGCTTATATTCAACCCTAAGTACAGAGCGGAGACTTGGTCTAGCCCAATTTCCAAGAGCTCCTAATATCTCATCTCCACCCTACCTTGCTCCACACAGACAAGCTCCACAAGGCTCTCACCATAGAAGTTAGTGGCTGCCAGTGACTTGAATGGCTTTGAGATCAAGCTTGCAGTGCCCTCCTCTTTACAGGGATATTGCATATTCTCAGTGTAAAGAAATTCCTCCTCCACCCCTAGTCTCATGAGTTTCAAGTCCTCAAGAGCAGCACTGTTCTCTGTGTAGGAGCACTATGCCCCTATGTATAGGATGGAATTCCAGTCACTGCATAACTTGGAGTTCTTTCTCCTGTATAATGGATTGATACAGAGAAATTTAGCCTATCTGTGGCCAATCTTGTCCTTACATAGAACAAATCTGCCTCTGCACAGGGGTATCTTTCTCTACATAGAGGATGTAACACAGCCTCTTGCTGCATACAGCAGAAATCTGAGTTTTATGGAGAGGCTCTTACATTCATTGTTCTGCTCTTAAATAACTGAATTCTGCCTCTGCACAGCAAACTGCCCCCTGTATTGTATTACTCTGTCTCTGTGTAGCAGACTGCTGTTCCTGTAAAGCTGAATGCCAAATTCTGCAGGAGGGTGTATTATATGAAGGAGCTGAATGCCTATTCTAGCAAACTGGTTTTCTGTTAGAGCTGGGAAAAACGCTTGTCAGAGATCCTACAAACAGGGCTCAGCCCGCCTTCTGCAGTGGTGAGCTAAGCTGCTCAGCTGAGGTGCCCCACAGAATGGGTGATCATGCCACTGTGAGTCACGCAGAGTGATTAAGACACTTCAGACAGCTCTGTTCTTCCCCACTTACCCTATCCAATCTCATAGTAAAAATGCCCATATATCTGGAAAACAAAGTCCTCCAGCAGACCAGATATCCAGTGCTAGAAGAATGAACTCTTCTCCCAGCTCTTCTCCTGTGTTTATTCTCTATTATCTGCAGATATGCCCACCTCCCCACCAGCACCTGGCTCTGTGCAGGACAGCACAGCCACAGAACCTACAGGTAAACCCAAGGGTCCCAGACAATGGTTTTTCTCCCACATTCCTTCCCAGTTTGTGACTCCTTTCTGCTTTGTGCAGGAGCTCCAATGTCAGAAGGTGGGAACTCAAATGGAGGTACTGAAAGCGGACTCAGCAACTGGAGAGGGTGGAGTTAGTCAGACCAAGACAAGTCACCAGGACAAGCTAATTCATTGCCTCCTGCCCTGTCCTTCAGCCCAGAAGAATCAAGTTCCTAGTTCTGGCAGGACACACACATTCTTCTTGAGCTCTCCTGGGCTTAGAAGCTGAGGCCACCCTATTTCCTACTCCCTGGAATTTGCCTGGAATGGGCATCAAGAGATTTATTTAATGGCAGGGGAAGAATAAAATGTAGAAGAGGAGAGGAGGGAGGAGAGGAAGCATGTTGTTTCAACATAATCTCCTTTTCTTATTGAGAAAAAATATTATACCATATGAACTCCAGAATTCTTCTTTTTGGTAATATTTTTGTGTGAAAGAGGCAATGGGTTTGAGACAAAGAACTTCCCAGAGGTAGTTATAAATGAACTGCTGCCATACAGGGACAATGAGGTTTGTCTTGGATTGAGGACAGCTCAGTTCCCAGTCCTTTCACTTCTCTGAGGCCAGGAGACACAGGAGAAAGCTACCACTGTGCTACCGCACTGCAAACTCAGTGGTTCAGGAGGATTGGAGAGGCTAAGGATGATTAAGTATATCAGAACTCATACTGATGCCATGCAAGAAACCTAGGCCAAGAGTCCTAGGGCATAAAGGCTTGTGCTCCTCCACCTGAGACTCAGCTTAGGGCATCTGTACAACAGGAGAGGACTACATCCTGTCCCCGTTCTGGTCTCTCTGCAGGGGTAAAGCAAGAGAAGATGCAGCACAGTTATAAGGACCCCTGGGAAATGAGCTGATCATGGCCTGCAAAATAGAGTTTGGGAGAAAAGGGAGCATGCCACATCATCAGCAACAGATGTAGCGGGTGACAGCAGCCACCACGACAGAATAGGAGAGAGGGACTCTGTGTACTGCAGTACCTGAAGAAGAGGATGTGGGGGAAGGCAGAGCAGCAAGGAAATGGTGGGGAATCACCACAGGCAAGTGGGACTTGGGTTGTACACAGTGGATTTTCTGGGTGGATGATGATTTCTCTTCTTTCCCTTCCTTCTTCTCTTCTACTATTGGTAGCTTACAGAGCATCAGGCCTTCTGCGCTGCTGGTCCAGGAGTTGTCTGCAAGGGAGGTTCAGGGGCTGCCCAGAGCGGCGGAGACGTCGAGAAGGAAGGCCAGCCAGCTGGCGACAGATCTCATCTGAAGACATAGCAGATAAAAACATGGTGACAGAGCATCAAACCTTCCTTCAAACTCTTCACCACCAGAATAATTAGGAGTGCCTCTTTCATTCTGTCTGTAGAAGCTTTTGAATTGCTGAATCCTCATATACATGAGGCAGGTGAACAACTCCTCAGGCCTTTATTCAGTTTCTTCTGGCTTTATACATGCACAATACATATTAAAATTACTCATATATTGCTGCAGCAAAGACTGCATAAGAAATCTGAACTGGATCTTGTTTTTAGTCATGAACAGAAATATTGAGAGTCACTTTTTAACCTCAAAGGAATGTGATTTTGAATAAGGATGTGTCCAGAACTAGTAGAACATGATTCATTAATTGATCAAGACAAGGCAATGCCAAGGTAGACTCAAGAGCTATCAAACCTCTTGATAGTGCATACCTACTTCCCAGTGTTTCTCATGGCATGCATACTTGATGCAAGGCTACATTGTATTAGAGGTCCCCAAACTAATTCTACAGAATCTACTACATATGGATTGGGAGTGGGTATTTAGCTAGCTTGAAGATGGTGTTAGGTAGATGCGGCTATTCTTCTAGCCTGTTCTAGGCTAGCTTTTTCTATCACTCACCTTGCATGACCTCATTCTCCTTGCAGACAATGCGAGAGCACACCTCCTTGTTTATTATGTACATGCGACGCACACTGAACGGATCACCAGAAGCATGCCAAAGACAAGAGGAGACAACGCAGGTACCCAAGGAGACAAAAAAAGGGATAGAGGCAATGAACACGTAAGTAATCACTTGTGAGGAGGCAAATCCTGAGTTCTGTAGTTAGTCCAGAAAAAGACTGCTGTCAATAGAAAGGTAGTCTTTGTCAAGACTCCATGATATATGGCCAAATGTGTTAAATGATTACAATAATGATAATGAATATATGATCATTACAAAACCTTAGAGCTGCACAGATAACAGTTATTATGCTGCATTAATTAATCTCCTTAAAAAGGACACTCTGAGGATAGGATTCATCTCACCAACTGGTTCTCTGAGGGAACCTCTAGTCTCCAAAGGAAACAATTGCAGAACTGGACATGTTGTTTCTGAAGAGCGTTATGGCTCTTCTTAGGGACTGCAGATTTCTTACCTGGTAACACAGAGGTAGCTGATACACTGCTTCACTGGTTTATGAACAGAATAGAGGCGAGTGCAAGGGAACTGCTCTTCACGACAATCTGAGAACACACACACACACAAAGGTGTATCAAGCATCATTGGCAGGGGTACTCGCTCTGATGCGGAAAACAGAGGCCTTCACTAGAAGTCTGGAGGGCAGTACCTAGCAGCACCTCTATTTTCCATTCTCTTGTGAGAGATGGGGATGGTACAGAGAAGAAGAAAATAAGGCAGACATTTCTGAGTCTCTTGCTTCAAAAGACAAAAATAAGGGGACCTTAAGTAAAGTGCAAAACCAGTCTGGAGAAAATCCTTAATACAAGAGACACATGCTTGAAAGGGATGGACACAAATAATCAAAATGTAAATTGTAGTCATATGTTTAAGATACATATTTCTAATGGATCTGCAATCTCATGCTTCAGGACACAAAACCAGTTATTTTCTTTTGCTGGCGATCAAACCTATAGACCTATGACAGAGTTTCTTGCATTCCTCTCTGAAATACTGCCTCCTGGCTACTGACAATGACAGGATATTGACCTGGTGTGTCTGGTCTGGTGATCTGCCAGTTCCCCCCACCCTGGACATGACACCCAGTGAAAGACTTCAGTTTCCACTACTCTTATTCTCCAGTCCTTCTAATTCAAGGAATAGGATAAAGTGAATTTTCCAGCAGGCCTCAGAGAGCACCAGCCTGGAGAGGTAACAAGGTCGGTGAAAGCAAAGTCAGGGAGGAGCTGTGGACAGCAAGCTTAAATGTACCTGATGCAGCCGTTGTAGTTTCAGTGTCAGATTGAACTGGAAGACATAGGATAGCAAAGTTAGGATGATTTATCATTATTCCTTCTTAGACATCAGTTTATTTGAAACAAATAAGTGGAAAGCTCTTTCAAAAGCCCTCCATTGCAATTTCTCCTATAGAAGCATTGTTAACATGAAACAGTGAAAGAAGGTACAAACCCAATATGAATCTAGTGCTAGCTATCCAGCCAACAACGCTAAAAATCTGGCCAAGCTTTGCCATAAAGTGTTACTAGTATTGTTCAACATTACATTCTGTTTGTAATGGAATCTTGAGTTAGAAAGGAAAAGGTTGGGTAAATGTAGAGTTAGTTACTGTAACTCCCACCTAGACAAGAAGGGAAGGAGCCTGACTGACTCTTTCTAGGGGACAGTGACTTCTTTAAGAAACAGCATCCCTGGACCTACTGGTTCTTTAATGTCCATGACAGTGGGACAAAAGGAAGTTGATTTATTGTTCCCTTTGATAAAGCAACCCACATGTACCAAAGTAAAACAGTAATGTTTTATTACTTACCCAGTGATAAAATGGGAAGGAACTCAAGAGGACTGACTGCCAGACACAAGTTTTCATCAACTTTAAATAGAGGACTTGTACTTCTCTTGTTCATGTGCCATGGTGTTAACCAGAATCACAGACAAAACACATGACCATAGAGAAAAGGAGTCTTCTGGGAGTCAAAGTTCTGGGTAGGGGCAATCAGGGAAGGCAGGATTCTAAGTGCGCAAGAGACAAGGTGAGGAGAGGGAGGAAGGGCCCAAGTCATTCAGCTATGGACTTAGAATAAACTTACCAGGGCTAAGAAGGACAGGTGGTGTTACAGCTGCAGCTGGAGAAAGAGAAGATTTTTGAAATATTTTAATTTGAGTTTTCAGCCTCTTCCCCCTTCCACAATTGTGCCAACTGCTCTTCATTCCTGAATTGCAGCTATCCCACATGTTGTTCAAGTATCATTATAATCCGTGGGGTCTATTTGACTTGTCAGAGTAACAGCAAGCTTTCCCTGTGAATATACTGGGTGTCCTCAAGCTGGGGGATGCTTTAAGACAGAGATGAGTCCCATAGTGTACGCTCAAGATGAGGAGTTTCTTCTTGATCGCTCTACAATAAGCATTTCAAAGCCAAAGTCTGATGTCAAGGCTTCAAATTTCCAGGTTCATTTTTTTGCATTTTTCAGGTTTAGAATTAGGTTACCCACAGCCAGTTTGGTCTGGACACAGAAGGCCCTTAGCTATCCTTTTACAGACTGGCAGGTCTCACACATTGAACAACAGACTCACACAGCTCACTGTCATCTCCCATCAGGAAGATCATACACCATACATTATTATGCCTCAATTTTTCTCCTCTAGTGTTGTCCCATGTGCCAGTGACAGTCGGAGGTTGATTCACAATTGTCTAGCCAGCTGATGAGCAAAGTCACAGGGCAGAAGAGAGATCATGGAACTGCACTATCTTGGAGAATGGGACATCGCTCTCAGATCTCCTAACATAGCACACTTCCCAGGAACACCCTAGGATTGCTGCCTCTCCTTTGTTTTTTGAACTAATGCATGACTCCTCAAATCACATGACCGGAGGTATTCTCCCCTCTCCCTGCTCTATCTGGTCTCTTATCACCTCATAGGAATATATTTGAGAGTCTGCCCCAGTAGAGAGAAGCAATCACAGAGGTCAGCAGTGGGGGATTCCAAATAACAGTCATACAGAAAAAGGGAAGAGACTCCTTTTTGAGTCACTGGCCCTCTCCTGCATTACCCATTGTAAGCCTAGCAGGATAAGTCTACCTTGTAAAGCAGGATAAGTCTACCTTGTAAAGGCATACACTCTATCAACCCTTGCAGTTTTGCCCAGTAAGTGGTGAACCTGCCCAATTTTTTCCCCATTGTCATCTATTCTCTTCCTTCAGCCTTCTATGGAAGCTGAGGCTGTATGAGCTTCAGATTTCATGGCTTTCTGCGATGCAAACATCTTCAGCGAACCAAGTGAGACTGGCATTTCCTTGGAGAACACATCATTATCCACTGTAAATTCATCTCTCTCCATGGAGCACAGATAGGAACCCCAAATAGCTATGGAGGCTGGAAGAGTACTGCCAGATGTCAGAGGTTGAGAAGAGGGCTTTCTGAGCATAATGAGTATTCCCTGGGGCTATAAAGGTGAGAGCAAAGGTAAACAGGGGAAAAAAAGCCTGAAGTTGCAGACATATGAACTTACCAGAGGTGCTGATGAGAAAGTCAGTGTTAAGATCACCTGGAAAAGAGAGAATGTCCCGAGAGAGTGTACCTTGACTTTGTGCCCTCTTGCATAGCTAGCCATACATAGCTTGAACTATCTTGGCAGCCATGGTAGGCTCATGAGAGAGTGGGATCCAATCCAGTAAATACATAAACAGACACAGTGCCCCTGTTTCACCCATATTCATCCCCCTCATTAATGACTGGTCTGGGACTACATTTCTATATGGCTGCATACTGCACTAAACATTATTGAACTCTGGATTCATATTCCAACTTCTTGGACATGGCCACTGTGGACAGCTTGAGGAGAAAGAAAGACTTCTGAAAGCAAGCCATTGATGCCTCCTGCACCATGAGGACAGACAGCTGAGGCACCCGCTGTAGAGAAGGAACGAGGAAACTCCAGAACCTAGCTCTGACTGCAAAGATGCATTGGCAGCTAGAGTTTCTCTGAAAGGCAAGAGATAGCAAAACTCGGGGGTGTGTGATGGAGGGATAAAGTGTGAAGGAAAGGGATCTTTGCGGACACATTTTGGACTGGCCACAGCCACTGAACAATTTTTCAGGAAGTCCCACACATTGCACAAGACAGGAGTGTAGCTGAGATGTTTGACAGCTAAGTCAATGGCTTCAGTGTGAAGAAAAGGTAGGCCCTTGTGGTTCCTCTACATGCTGAAGCCTAATGCAAAGACATATTTGTTTTATCTTATCATGTCAGAGAAACGGAAGAAGTAAGACTCAGAGGGACAAAGCGATTCACCTTCAACAACATAGTTAGTCAAGTTCTCAAAATGAGTCAATATCCTTTCTCAGTAGCCCTACTGCTAGAGCACCCCACTCTTTGTGCATACTTTTGCTCAGGATTTTCCTGAGCAGCAGGAGAATTTCCCTAACTTCTCACTGCTAAAGAATTATCAGCTCTCATGGATCTCCCACAAACTTTTGCTGTGAATATAACTTCATGCAAATCAGCTAAGTGCTCAGGACTCCAACACTAGTGAATTACTTATGAAAAGCTCACAACACTTAGCAAGTTGTCTTCCAGGGCTTGTTTAATCTTCACTGAAAGGCAACCTCACAATGGCAGAGGCAAAGAAACAAGTAACAATATTTGCAATGAAACAGGCTGGAACTACATGGGACAACTGGGTCACATAAGCAAGTCTTTAGCGCCTAACACGCCTGTAATACTCACCAGTTACAGTTTCCAGTTCTTGCCCGTGTACCACCCATGGATACCAGTCTGCAAGAGAAGAGAAACAGAGAGAGAGATGGTTTTCTACAGGCTGGAAAGTTTGTGAAATTGCTATGAGATGCTTGTCTGTCCAGGAGACACCACTGCCCTCTGCTGAAGGGAGAGATGCTCTCCTCTTTGCCTCAGCCTCCATTGCCAGCAGGGCTTGTTCTTTAAAGACTTTTGGATACAGTGGGTCTAGATTCTATCCCTGCTGCTTGTGCCAGGGTCCAAGGCCAGGCACGGGGATGAGATTATAGTAGTTCCAGATCTGCTTCCATACTTTGCATTTCTGCAACACCATTTGATGCATTTTGAAAACAAATTACACCTTGCCTCCCTGCTCTGAAGACTTGCAAAAATCACTACCTCCATTTTATAAAAGAGGAAATGGAATCATGGAAATTGTTTACTTAGGGTCACAGAGTCAGTGGCACAGTCAGAAACAGACCGCAGAACTTGTAGCTCCTTAAGCAAGTAATCAACTAGTCCACCATCCTCCCTGGGTATGGAGCACAGAGTGGAAGATCTTTCCCTTTCCAGTCACTTGGTGCAATAGGAGACAGAGAATGATGAAGTTTTGGCTGTGCATGCTGTGTGAAAAAGGAGGAATTGAAACTTAGACAGACTGTTCATTTGTCCAAATATAAAGAGTGAGAGAGCTGCTTCCTCCAGCAGCCAGGAATAAGAAAATATTTCCTGCTAGCCGCAGAGGAGGGAAATGTCTACATAATTGGAGGTGGGATAAAGGAAAGAGTTGGCAGGAAAAATCTGGTGATCTGAGGCACTGCAGGATTGTGTGCAGGACCAGCTCAAAGCACAGTACACACTGGTATGTCTTATGAACTCAGCCTTTAGCTTTCTACTCTTAGTGGGAGCACTGCAAGAGTAAAGACTACAGGTCTGGAGCTTTAAAACCTTAGTTCTTCCTCATTCCAAGATCAGTTACTTGCAGGCTGCAGAAATATACTTAGGACCCCCACACAGTCCCACTCTGCAGCATTACATTGCTGGAATCACTGGACCTTGCTATTCCCTTCCCCACCCAGCTGCCAGCAGGGGCTCAGCTGCTGGCCATTGACCCAGGGAGAGCCAGACATGCATAATAACTTAAGTACACAGGGTAGTGCAGTCCCAAACCTTTCCTGTTCCAGCTAATCTCTTAATGGCAACATTCAGAGAGGAAAAATGAGATTGTACACTTCTTAGTTTGTTTCTTATACAAAAGGAAGGAATCAAATTCTAACTTAAAAACAAACTTTTTCTAACATTGAAAAGTCGGCTCTTACTAACCTTTTTCTTGTCTAGGAGACTACTAGAAAACTAGTCCAAATATTAAATGACAGGGCATAAGGAAGCGCAACTTCTAAATGTGAGGAGAGGAGGCAAAAAAAAGTGAATTTCAATCACTTGGATTTGTATTTGCTTGAGTACCCCTTATAGATACTTCATAAACGCTTGGGAGGAAACATTTTGTTGTCCAAGCTGCACTAACTTTACCCTTGGCTGAAAAAGCTGCCACCCTAACTCATCAAATCTGTAGCTGACCAGACAACAAAAGAGACCAGCTTGTGACTCCTGTTAAGTTTGTTGTTATTTTTATGTTAAAACAAAAATATTAGAAACCCTAGAACAAAACACACACAAGCAAGAAATCTTCCTTTCAAGCCTTCTTCATGCATCAGGCTATATCCTTTTTTTCAGGCTATAACCTTTTTTTCTCCCCTCTAACTTTGTAGGCCACCTACACGGTCATCTCTTGGATGGCTCTCATCCCTGCTTCACAGTCGTAAACACGACAACCTCTTTGTGATAACTACTATGCGTGTTCACAGGAAAAAGTGCTACCGGGAGTAGAAACAGGCTTCAGTTAAATTCCAGATGCAAGCAGTCTCTGAACACCAGAGGAGGTCCATCTGGAGCCAACCATTTCAGCTTGAGGGAAGGACTGAGGACAGTAGATTGGCATAACCTGATCTGAATGTGCAGTCGTCTGTCTCTTACAGTTTTTCCTGGGTGAAGCTTTCTCCACTCATTGGAATTAATCCTCTGTTGCTCTTTGTCCTGACTGATTCGACTCTAATGTGTGATGCTACCCTATCATTTTGTTTTACTCTATCGTTTTGTTTTATTCTGCAAATTTGATCCCACCTAAACTTTCACCAAATAAATTCCCAACAAAGATGTGAAGCAATAAAACAAAACAACAACAAAAGCAGAGAGGTCTAGACTCCTGAGCTTAGGTTTGTCCAAACAACTATACAAACTATACAACTGTACAAAAAAACTACAAAACCCTCTGGCAACTGAATGACTTGGAACTGAGGGCATTTCAGCATGAACCATTAGTGACAGCAGGTGTTTCACAACTATGACAGAAAAAGTTATGTGGAGCACTGGGAAGTGCTCTGCAGATCACAGAAACACAGGCTGTCAGCCATGTGAAGTACAGCACAGTCTCTAATAAGCATAAATCACAGCTAACACACTTTCTAAGATCTGGTCCTGGTTATTTTGCTTATCTAAATATCCCTGCTGTGCAAACCCTGGACCTCTGTCTGCTGTGACTCCTGCTGCTTACTAGGGAGTGGACACATATGGGAATGAATCCCTGCTTCCCAATCTTTTCCATATAACCTTATCTATCTCCACCATTCCTTTCCTGTTCAGCCCTTCCCCCTCCATCTACTTTCTCCTTAGGTCATTGCATGTTAGCCTCTGCAGAGAAGGGGCCAAGATGAGGAAGAAATCCTCTCCTTGGAATAAGAACTCACCAGCTGGGGACAAAGAAAGTGCTAAAAGACACAGCAGTATACAGGCTCCAGAGGTCTTCATCCCTGTGGAGTGGAGGACAGAAGTCAGAGCAAATTTAAAGCAGGAGCTGGGACACCCTTCTCTGTAGCCCAGAAACTCTCTTTGCTCGCTGCCTCCATTTCCCTCTTAAGACATTTTGTTCTTCCCAGCCTCCGTCCCACCTAGCTCTCTCCTAATCTGGCCAGTTTTACAGCTGTTGCTGAAACATTTTGGACTGAATATGGAACTCTATCTATCTGCCTTGTTTATCTTAGCACCTCCTTTCTTCCATCATTTTCTTTCCCTGTGTCCATCCTTTTTTTCATCCAGGTAGCTAACCACCTTCCAGCACCCCCTCACCCCCCCCCCCCCCCCCCTTCCGGGATACAAAGAAAACTTTCCCTTTGTTATCTTCCTCCATCCTCTTCTCCTTTTAACTTATTCTGAGGAATGTTGAGAGAACAGATAGGGTCCCCGTCACTTACTGCAGCCCTCAGTCTTTGCTCCCTTCAGCAGCAGACGCTCTGTCTTCCCCCTTCTGCTGTTCTCCCCACTTTGGCCACTGAGTAGATCATATACAGCCACTCCCAGAACACGTTCTACTTTCGGTTGTCCTCAAAATACAATTTTAGAGAAAAAAAAAAAGAAAGAAAAAGGAAAAGGCAGTGAAGCGGTGGGATGTGGTGTCATCATGCAGATGGAATGAGGGGGAGGGGAGCGAGGAAAGGCGGCCCACACCCTCATTCCAGAGTTTATTATAATCCAAAAGGAGCCTGCTCCTCCCATTCCCTCAGGATGGCCCAGTACCAGCAATGGATTCCTCTGTCTACATTATATATTCGTGTCCTGTTTTATTTTGCCCTTCTGTACAGTGCTGTCTTTCTCCCTCCTTTCCTTACATCACTACAGCTACCCTTCTTTTCCCACTTAGCTGCCTGTTTGCACCCCATTCCTTTAGCCCTCTTTTCTTCCTGTTTTTCTATTTCTCTCTTATATACTGAAAATCTGCAGAGCCCGCACCTGTGTTTTCCTAAAGGACATACGTAGTTTTCCAATCGTATCCACCTGAGGAGAGAACAGCCTTCCCACCACCAATTCAGAGACTTTGCAGCGCTCTGTCTGAGCAATGCCTTTAAAAAACATGTGCCCCTTAAAAAAACCACTCCATTTTGTTTTCTGTTTCCAGTCTCTTCTAGCTAAAGATAAAAAACAAAGAATAGGGGTTGTAGCTAGATTATCTGTAGTCTTTTGAGTTATTAGCCTTGCCATTATCAGCCTGAGATACATCCTGTGGAACGTCATACACATCTCTCACTATCTCTCCATTTCATTGCAGAGCAGGTAACCATGTCGAGCCCTACGATTGTACGCTTCCTGTTTGCACTGATGAACCTTAGCCTGGCTACCCCTTGAGATCAAAACTTTATACTTTAGAAAAGCAGAATTCAGGATACCAGCCAATAGTAGTACACTGTACTGGACTGTAGTACAGTGAGCTCCACAAATACTCCCTCCATTATATACTGGCTTTGGCCCATGTTTAGGAAATATGTGCTCAGATTTCCCTTGCCCAAAGTGCTCTAGAACTTGGCCGTAGTAGCAGATGCTTGAACGTGAACCACATGGGTGACTGGCAAGTCTAGACTTGAAATGCATTTAACCATTATTCTAACTACTTTTTGTCAGTCTTACATTCTACCTTTTTTTCCTATTGTTTCTGCTTTTTCCTCTATAAATCTTTTTGCATCTTTTTCCACTTCTGCCCTCTTCCCTTTCCCTCTTCCCCGCCCCCAGCACTTCTCTTGATCCTGCCTATTGCCAAATGCAAAATCTTTTTCTTCTAGAAATACTTTAGGGCTTGGGCACATCATAATTTGATTCCATTTGCCATGGTGACAGAATGAATTCTAGTCTTTCCCCCTAATATCCTATTGGATTATATTACTCCAGACACATAGCCTCGTCCAGCATGTACCGCAAGTGATGCTGTCCAGGAGGAATTCAAAATCATTCATGGAACAGGATTTAGTGCCAGAACAATGGGTGGGGACAGTGCATTTAATGAACAGTGAGAATGGACACGCCCCACCGCCCTTTACTCCAATGGGATTATTTTGTACTTCATATTGGGGTCCCTGTTGTACAAATGGTCAGTACTTAGGTTTTCAGAGTAGGAAGGACAGAGCTCTCTGTCTCTGTGTCTGCTATGATATTCCAACTAAGTGGGAGGTGCAAAGCAAGTTGAAATCCTAAGTGGTAACAGATGTATTACAAGAAGAGAATAAAAGAACAGAGACAATAGGATTGGATAAATAAAGGAAAAGGGAAAAAGCCCAGAAGGAAGACACAAGCTTTCCATGGATCACAGACAGATGGAGGGCCTGGCAGACAGCCCATCAGCTGGCAGCAAGGATGATGACATCACCCTGCAGTCAAGCGCCAGGAAGGAGGAAAGAGAGCATCCTCCCTCTATGGGCTGCGTTGGCTTGGGCGTCCTCCTGGCAGGCTGTGGAAGGGACTCACACCAGGACCAGGGTTATGTGCAATGCGGGTAGGGAACAGGGATTAGGACATGGGGCAATTTCTACAATGCCATTGCCATTCTGGCCAGTCTGAGAAAGATGGACAATAGGGGAAATGTCAGTCAAAAAATGTCAGCCAAAGGGGAGTGACATAAACTGAGGAAGGAAAAAGAAAGAGGAAGAACAAGATTTGACCATCATTTATGCCACCCTTCAAAATCCCTTGAGCTGCTTTGCCTCCAAGCACACTGCATTTTATGAATGAGGGAGTGGCAAGTCCACGAGCCCCAGTGGAATACCCTTTATCTCATATAACTCTTCTTCCAAGAGCCCTAGGATCTCCATTTCTAGTTGCTTTCTCAGTTATTTGTTTTCTCTTTGCTGCTCCTGGAATTCCTTCTCTGGGTATGAGGAGGCACTGGTTAGACAGTGCCCCTTCTTTGAGCTTCAGGGCACAATCTCAGTCCTGAAGACAAGGATATTGAAGGAGGAAGATAGAAAATGACCCAAGCTCCCTCCCTCATACAGCAATGAAAGACAGAAACCCTGCAGGGGAAAGCTGCAACGTATAGGCCTTATCCTGGTAGCTAGGTAACCCTTATTTGTTCTCAAGAAACAGCAGGCAAGGAATAAAGCCCAATAATTGCTAGTATACAGTTACTAAGGAAATCTTTACCATGTCTTAGCTACCATAACAAACCTAGAAAAGTGTTACCTGTATGTGACATAACCAAACCTAGCATTTCTTATCTAACAGTGGCTGACAATAGGTTGTGGCGGTGTTCATGAGAAAAGACTGATTATTTGCTTATTCTTGTTTCTGGTCCTCCAAAAACTCAGAGGAAAAGCACTGGTGCTGACAGGTAGCAGGAGATGGGTTGAGGGAAAAGGGAATGCTAGGCATTTCCCTGCTCACCAGAACAGCATTCTGAACTGAAGCACCATCAGCCTGTTTTACTGAAGTTAGACACTTCACACTTTCACACTTTCAGCAAATGACTAAAAGTCAGTCCACAGAAGACACTCAGAAGGTGATTAAGCAAACAGAACAACTGATGGAAGTTATAACTGCTTCCTGGTTTGAGAAATCCTCTCAGATCATTGGCTTTTTCTGGATGGCCAGATAGTAGTATAGTCAGGGTTACATCTTTCCACACAGCTTGGTTTTGTTTCCGTTCTTCTCTGTGCCTCTGTCTTGTCATTCAAGCATTGTCTTGTCATTGTTACTGTTTAATTGAAAACTACAACTCCACAGATGAAGACCTTGTGAATCCTGAAATATTTATTTGAAAACTTTCATTGATGCCATACATTTTGGTCTAGCAGTGTATTAATGTATCACCATCTCCCATAGACAGCAAGATTCACCTCTGGTCCTGGGCAAGGTTCCTTCAGAGTGCTTTTGAACTTTAAATCCTTTTTTCAAGCTGTAAGTGTGTGTTCTCCCCAAGCTGCTCAATGCAAATAGGCCACTTATGCTAACAACACACCTCTCACTTGGACAGCTTGGTGCAGATGGGAAGTTCTTGGTGAGGGAATTGTTGGCTGGGAGGCAGTTCAATATTTTATATACCAGACAAATCGCAGTGAAATAAATGGAGGTATCCTGCTGCTGTTGCTCTCTGTGGACACAGGAGGGAGCTGCAGCATATCAGCATATGAAACTCTGTTTTTTTTCTTGCATTCCAACTACATTCTTCAAGAGCTATGGTTCTGGGTCTGAAGGCCCTGATCTGGTATGAGTGCTCTCCTCCTAGTGCTCCTGTTTATTAGTGTCCCGGATCCATACCTCTTTAACCACTTTGCTTTTTTGGAAGGGAAAGGAAAGAATCTGTTATTTTTCCCACCATTCCCACCCCATGACATTCACAAAGATTGCAGGAGAGCCCTCACTACTGGGAGATTTCAATATTCAATGTAATTCTGCACCTTCCCTTCTCATTCACTTTGCTATCTTCTGCTTTGCACGCAGCCATCCTTCTCCAGCAAAGGGGAACTTGGAGACATCCATAAATACACTCCCTTTATACTCAAGGTAAAGCATTCTTCCCTCTGAAAAGTTCAGTATCACTGCCATACTATGGCCTGAAGAACTATGCCACAGTAAATAGCATGGGTGACTCATAAGGGAAACACTTCCGTACATATATACCCTAAGCTGCACTGACCCCAGTGCCTGTATGTGTTTACATAAAATGAGAAGCAGTGAGTGTGATTCAGCAAAAAGTTGCAAGGGATGCTATAGTAATGGCAGTGCAATATTTTGAATGAGACACAAAATCAGCCTTCCTGGAAATGAAAATCTCCTGGTGCATTTCACCCCAGAGATGACTGCATCTCAGCAGAAAGGCAAGCGATCCCAGCATACCTCATCTGTAAAGGTCTTGGAAAGGCATTTAAAAGCCAGTTGATTTCTTCCCAACTCTTTGTCTCACTGTCCTTCACATGTGCTCACAATAACTGCGCATTAAAGTACATCTGAGTGGTCAGAAATTAATGAACTGCTCTAAGATGCTTGAATGTACCATTTCAATAACGTAGCACTGGGTGTTCATTTGAATTGGCACTGTGAAGCGAATTTTCTTGGTACCCACACTGATGACTTCTCATTGCCAATTGTTTCCATTAATACCTAAGGTCTGACACCAACCTTCAGTTGTTCCACTGGTATATCTGAGGTTGCCAGAAGGAAGGGACATGAGTTCAAGACCTGATCCATCTTTCCCCAGTTTTTGGAGGTAAGGTCTGACTTTGTTACCAATCCATTATAGAAGTGGGAACACCACAAAGTTCAGGAACCTGTATGTGACCCACATCTGTCTGAAAAATGATCACGCTTTTTCTTGTCCCGTATATAAGAACAAGGAATTCTTCACCCCTTTATTTCCAAATCAGCAAACCAGTGGTTAGAAGGCAGGCAGCCTTGCAGTCACAAAATGCCCTAAAGGAGTCCATGAAACTAATTAATACTTACTCAACTCCTTCAAATCAGTTCCATGTTTGTGAAGAATTGAGTGCGCGTACAGCGAGTAAAGTCATCTTTGATGTTTTGTTGGTGTATTTGGCCACATGCTTCAGGCTTCGCAGGGCCAAGAAGCCTGCAGTGAGAAATTCTCAGCATCTTCCTTCTTTCCCAGCTCTCTGCTTCAGAGTTACCTCACGCTTCCTTCTCCAGTTCTGAAT